GGAGGGGAGGGGGTGTGGGGCTAAGAAAGGAATGTTCACATCAGTCTTGTTCCTACCAATCCTTTCACCACTATACATGAAAAATGTATGGTTGAATTTTAGAAATAAACCAACATAGCTCAATATGAACTTGTGTATAGACTTGAAAAAAAAGAAGCTACCAGTAATGGGAAAGCTCACTTTTTGTTGGTTAGTGGCACTATTTTAAAGGATATAATAACCAATAAAAATCCAGTGTTAGTTTCTTACCAGGCCAGAAATTGGCATCTGTAGGGAAGGTACGGAGAAGATCAAGAATGTAGTGTCTTCCATCATTTCCACGTATACCCTGAAAAAAGAATGTGGACCAGAGTGTTGGTGATTAGTGTACAGTTTTCTTGTTAAACATTCTATTACTTGGATACAGGTAAAGGTTTAAACAAATGAGAAAATGTGTACAAGAAGGCAGTTGGGAGATAGGTTAGAACTAGAGGGGCAAATGATATGTCAAAGATCCCCTTCCTTGACTGCATTACTAATCAAACACTAAATGCATTGATGCTTAAATTTGAAGAAAGTTGCAGTCACTATGAGGCACTATTTCGGGCTGTATTCAAAAGCTAAAATATTCATAGTATTATCATCACTTTAGAGTAATAATTATCATTAACCCTTTCCAGTCTGCCCCATTACCATTGATTGAGGCTGTACCAAAGCTGGGAAATTACATCATCTACACTAAATGTCGGGTTTTTACAGGGCGCAGGCATTTTATTTGGTCTGAATACAGGAGGCCCTCTATAGAAATACTCCTACATCACACTAAAAAAAAAATCCTATTGAGGGCAGCTTAGCTATAAAATAATTATCATGAAAGCTATACAGGGCGTACATGCGACGCCCCTTGCTATGAAGTATGGTCAAAGAGGGCGTAGTCGTGCGCCGTACGACTGGAAAGGGTTCACATACTACATACCTTGCATTCTATTGATGAGTAAATCTCTACCTCATCCTCTTGACTATTGATGACTTTGTGAGGAAGAACCTTAAGGTGCTGAGCGGACTTGGTCAACTGTATAACAAATTCAAACAATTTTGATTTGTGTCATGAAAATACCATAGGAGAGTTGCTTTGCCGTACCGGACTTGTTATCGTACTGAATAATCAAGACTAACGTTGAATCCAATCCCCAAGAAGCAGCGGGTACTGCAATGCAATTTTGACACCTAAGCGTAAGCTTGGCAGTCTCTGTTATGACACCAGGCTAGTAATATCTGGGGGTCGTGGGTTTGCTTTCCATCCAAATCAATTTTTTTTGCAAGTATATGAGAATGTATTGAGTATCCAGTACGATAACACATCAGGTCCTAAAATTCAAACAAGTTATTGAATACCTACTGTATAGTGGCCATATACTACTAAATGCACAGAGCAACTGTATCCTAACATGTAGATAAATATAGTAGTATATTATTATTTCCCTGGATGCATGAATAATCTGTCTGATTGACAGTTTAATTAAAACAGTGTGCAGCTAAAGTGCATTCACAATATTGCTTTATAAACGATGTGCTTTAAGATGTCAGTTAAAGGAGGCTACAGATTGAGTCTGTCATGTGTGTATGAAACAACAAAGATAAGTGGCAGCTATAAAAAAAGATCTTGCAAAAATGTTAATGATGAGTTCTAAGAGAAACTACGTATGATATTATTCAGTTAGCGGCATATTAATATTACTACTATCCATCGGCATCAACGTCATATTAGTATTACTACTACTATTAACTGATTATAGTAGCCAAACTCTTTAATCAATCTTTACTGTTAATGAATAACCCTATAATATGCAGCTGATAACATACACCAATCATTCATTTATATTTCTTGAGCTTTGACACATATATGTACACTTAAACTACAAGATGGCTTATTGATTACTTACAAGTTCTGTATATTTTTCACTAGAGACGACTGTCTTGCCAAAGTCAATGGAGCCATAGATAACGGACTCTTCTTGCTCTCGCTCCAGAATACCGGGGATAATAGACTGTGCCGTTATCCTGTAGCCACGGTAATCAACAACAACTGTACCCAGCGTGTACAAACCCTCCACATCTGCGTTGCAGTATGCTTTTACCCCATGTAGGTCATTATTCTGAAAATTGACCAATAGCAGTTTCGTCAGTACCTCAGAATTTGAATTCTCTGTTATAATTTTTAGGAGGAATCTTTAGAGGTTAAAATAATTAAGTACTTTCAATGATTGATATGATGGTGATGCTAATTATGATTAATGATAATATGACAATGATAACTCATGATGATGATGGGAGTAAAGATAATGATGATGATATGATAATGACAAATATGATTTGTTTGGTGAGGACAGTTATGATATATGTAGATGGTTGGGATGATGATGATTATTATTTGCGGCTGTGAAGATTATATGTGGTTATAAGCGAACACATAATGTAAATATATTGAGCCAGTCTGTCTAAAAGATGCTGCTGGCTGCTCTATTAATGAGCATTAGTTTATAAAAAAATATGTACTTGCAGTGGTGTATCTGGAGGAGGGGGTGCACATGGGGGTTGCACGCGCCTCCAAAAATTACTTGCACCCCACCAGTCACCCGACAAAATCACAAACTGATCATCAAGCTCCCCCCCCCTTCACCTGGTTCATACTAATAGAGAACAGTATAAATTGAATTAGGAATTCATTAGATAAACAAGTCTTTTTCATTCTTGGTTATTTTTATTTTTTTCTATTTCATGATTTAATACCATACTAATTGTATTCCATGGTTATTATTCTTCAGGAGTTATTAAATTTGCTCTGTGAATTTGTTTTATTCATTATTTCTTACTTAGATTCCTCTCCTGGATTTATTGCCATCACATTGCCGTCAATCACTGCAACAGCTCCGCGTGCTGCTGCCATCACAAAGTCACTGTGTACTTTGAAGATCGCCCTCTCCCGTAGCAGACGTTCAGGCAACTGCTTCCTGGGTAATTCTCTTGTTGTCATTGTTTCCTCATTCCAGTCTCGAGTCTTAAAATGAAAACACATTATTCTGTGATTTAAGAAATCATTTTAGATTTCAAATAATTTATCATTTTCAAAAACTTGTTTTCCGAAATTATTAAAAAACACAAAAACATATAAGCTTACCTGTCCAGGTATATGCTCTTCATATCCAAGGCGTGAAGAAAAGGCTTCAAGTTGAAAAAAAGAAAATATTTTAAAAATAATTTATAAAATGCTGATATATGCATTTACTAAGATTTATAATATGAATGAAATAGTTAAAAAGCATACTCACCATCCTCAGCACGGATCGTATCTACCGAGTGCTCTGTAGAGGGCGCCAGCCAACTGAAGGTCTGGAATGGTGTTGGGACTCTCTCAAATGGATGGCGCTGTGATCTACGTTGTGAAGAAAAAGAGGCACTTTCATAATTAAGCGTGTACAATTTACAAAATACATGGTACCCAAATTACCTAGGCACTTCATTACTGGTTTAAGTACTTGGGTCTTCAAAAACAAAAACTGTATATATATATATTTGACCTCTTGACCTAGGATGACCTTATCATAAGTTGAAGGTTTTAATCCAATATGAATACCATTCCTTTTTACCCCATTACTACAAAGACTTAACTTAGAACACTCCCTACAAATTTTTTCTTGAGGACATGGTATACAAAAAAAACCCCCTATGGTTAACTAATTTGGATGACTGATATATAAACCATTGACATAAATGATAAATCAATCAACACAAGATTAAAAATCTCAAACAAATCAAGTTTTGCTACAATGTATCTTGCTTCATGGTGATAAAGGTATGAGGAGCCGCATAATTATTTTTAGGTTATATGTAACTGCACCTATAATTTATCAAAGACACCAACAATTTCAATTTGAATGACTCAATATTTTACATAACAAGGGTGGGTTTTGTTAGTCATAGTGACACTAGGAAAAGGAACTCAAACGAACCAAAGTTACAAGGGTTGGAAATTTAACGGTATTAGCTTATTTACATGGACCAGTGAGTATATATTTTCTATAGCTTCTTTTTTTTGAGATTATAAAGGAATGAACTCCTGATCAATGGATAAAAGAATATTTACTATTCAATACATGCCCCTAAAATAAAGTATGGTTAAAAAATATATAAATTCTCCCTGCAGTTTCAAAATGGATGCTGAAGGCAAGTTCACTGCCATTAACTATAACGATATTTCCAGTCAACACACTTTAAACAAAGACCTTTGATAAGAGTTGGAAAAAACAGGTTTCTACATGAGCATAACTGAAAGGAAAGTACCCTCATTTTTAAGAACAAAGGCTAAAAGAATTTACTAGGCCAATAAAGGATGCTTGTATGCAAGGATATTTAACAGTTCAAAGACAGGGCATTTACTAAAAAAAAAAAAAATGTTGTAGAGTGGTACAAGCGGTAGAAGCAGCAGCAGTAGCAGCGCCGCCAGCATGGGCAATGGAACTTTACGGCACATACTGTATCATACAAAAAAAATCTCTCCCCCCCCTCCCCATTTATTGGGCACTGCTTAAAATGGCCCAAAATTTGCTCAGAAGGATGACTAATTTTATTCTAATGTTGTACACCTCTTTCTCTCATTTGTAGAGTTTAAATATGTATAAATTAATATAGAAAATAAAATAAAACAGAATAAAGCAATATTGAAATAAAAAAAGAGAATAAAAAGAAAATTACCTTATTATTTTTATCTATTTAAAGAACAGGCAAAAAACTTATTCCGTTTCTAAATGTTTAGAAAGCACACCCACTTTTGAACACAAAAATTCACAAATTTTTTAGTGTGGGATTATGTATGCCTAATTCAAAGCCAAAATTTGATGGTTTTTTTTTCTGAGAATATTTGTAAAAGTCATACCCTGGGCTTTTGCTTGAGAAAGGCTGGTACATAAAATTGGGCATAAAGTATGGTGTGGGCTTATACCCGAGTAGTAATAATAATAATAACAACAACAAAAACAGAAACAATAAAAATAATAAAAACAAGCGTTAACTCTGACATCAACATCATGTTTTTTTTAAATTGTTCTCTAATTTCTCCATTGTTTAAGTTCCCCTTAAGGTAAGTTTTAGTAACATAGATGGATTTATATAGCGCAAATAAACAAGGTCTCTATGCGCTTGACAATGGTTTAGAAAACAAAAACAAAATTGCTAAATAAAAATCAAAGAAAAAAAAACAAACACCAAGCTAGCATCCAAATCGAAGTATGGGGTTACACCATCTCTGTATCATGTATGTACTCCGTTTAGCATCGGTTAAGTCTTGATCTTTTCAGTAAAAGATGATAAGCCATTACACATTCAATTCTGTCTCCCTATTAGCTATACCACTACAGTACTTCAAATTATTTCAGTTCACTATTATAATGACTGAACAAATTGGATTGTAGCAATCAATGCAATAACATTAATGGTTCAGCTTTCAAAACAGATGGATGATATGCTAATGATTACATTATAATTACAATTAGTCCCTTTGTTATTTCACATTCAATTTGGCTCATTGCCACGATTTGTAAATTTTGAATAAAGAATTTGAAAAGAGTTTGAATTTGATAGCAATTAATGCTTATTATCATTATTATTCAAGTTAACATGGATTAATAGGTAAAAGTGTGTTGAATTTTCACACATGGCTACAAATACTACCAAAAACAGGTTGTAATTTTTTTTCTAAATTTATATTTATAGAGGGTGACTTTTCTAGCTTATATTAGTTCTTTTTGTTTGCGGTTTTTTTGGTGATATGTATTTTTTTTGGTAAGTTCTTTTATATCTGTAGATGAACAGCATTATGATAATGGGTTATTTCCTGAATTAAATGTATTTTTAAGTACCACCGAGACAAAGACCATTACATTGTCGTTTTGTATTTAATAGAGACTATAAAATAAACTAACCTTACTGCTTTATAATGCTTACGATAACTAAATAAGATTCAAAATTCAAGATAATTTTATTGTCTGAAAAACTCATAAATTACATTCCACTGGCAGTCTTACAAACAATAACACCACAAATACAGTAACAAATATTACATTTCATTTATCTTTTTTCTTTTACCCTGGGTGACATGGTCGGTGCAAAAGAATCATTATACTCCAAGGCCCAGCAAACACACACAAATTACTTAAAATAAATAATTACTTAAACTAAAATAAATACCAAAAAAATATGGTCCACTACTACCAGTATTATTCTTATCTAAATATGCTGCCTATATTTGTTGTGGGTATGGCTTGAGGAGTAGTAGTTAGCAACAACTATGGAATGAGATAGTGGGTGGTTCAATACCATGCATCGTCCTTTCACCAGGCATAGCAGCTTTGCTTGACCTTTTCTTAGATAATCAACAACCATTGGGATGCTAGTTTAGGGAATTTCAATTAGAGTTTCTACTTAGCAAATATGTGAATAGGATATTTATGCGAGTATGCTAAAAAATGTATTTCAAATTCCTCAGATTTCAAAATTAATTTTTTAATGAATGTACATAATATGTAGAATACATATATGAATTTATATATAAATATTCATATGAAGAGAAAAATCCTTAAATCATCTTGTGTTATGCTTTATACATATATATTACAGTATGTATATGTATGTATAAGTAATCAAAAAGGTAGAAATTTAGGGACACGATAAATATGATTGATAACAAGGTTACATGAATTAGTCAAACAGATATAGGTTGTTTCCTGTGATTGGCTCATCACTTCCACTCTGAATCACTACTGGTCAACTAAGAAACCTATCCACTGATTGGTTTATGCTGTATAATCTCCTTGACAACATAAGACCCAGACCTAAACTAGTAATAAATCAACACTTAAAATAATGTGGGTGTTCATGATTTGAAACCGTTACATGACCAATAGGTTATTAAAAATTAGTGACAATTTCCAAGACTGGCAAGTAACCACTATGTAACACTGTATATGTATGTATATTAAGGCTTCCACCAGCTTCCTCCAAAACAATTGTTCAAATTGATTGAACCAATATGATATAAGATGCGAAATATGCAAAGCAAGTTGATATCTAATGGTAATTTAAAACGTAGTACATTAATGTGTGGCGCAGCGTGTAAGTTGTTGGACTTCTGATCGTGAGATCGAGAGTTTGAGACTGACACTCGTCGCATTACTTGTATCCTTGGGCAAGGCACTTTACTTACGCTTGCCTCTCTCCACCCAGGAGTATAAATGGGTACCTGGTAGAATGGTGTGGCATTGCATGTATGGGTTGTGCGTGTAAAGCAGCATGACTATGGATACTTCCCAGGGAAGCAGAGAAAGTTGCACAAAAATGTGCTGGTTTGGCAACTAAGTATCCAGGGACCAGGGAAATACTGACGCCAGCACCTTTGTATATTCTCCGGAATGTGAAAGGCACCATATAGTGCCGGTGGCAAGTTATTTTTTAACTTTAATACACGCTTTATAAGTTTTATTGCATTATTATTATAATATAAATTTGGATTCAAAAGTTTAAAAAAAAAAAAAATAAATAAATAAATAAACACACTAACAACTTAACTGACCCTAGTTTTATTAAAGTTCATTAAAATGGATTAAGTACATGCTACAGTTCCTAAACCGGTACTCAGCAGGCTCTCTATACATTAGGTAGAGTGTGACCCAATAAGGGAAGTTAATGCCCTGCCCTATATACCAGTAGTGGCGCCAGTAGAAAAGGTCAAGGGAATTACACCCAATGGGCAAGCAATGTACCCCCAGTCATCCAAGGACACTTGAGGTTGTTGGCTAAAAATTTTAATTCCCAGATCTAACTGTATTGAGATTACAGGTTTGAAAAGCACAATTTTTGCCATCCTAAACTTTTAAACTTCCACTTCTGACCACCACCGGTTTCACTCCAGAACACCATTAATAGAGGCCCTCTTTCTTTGGACCTCCCTGTAATATCAGGGATGGATCCAGAATTTTTTTTACACAAGGGGGCACCAATTTGATAGAGGCCTAGATGTATTATACAACAATGGTATAATTCGTGTTCAGTATATGCTGTTACAAATATTGTAACATTTCGTAATTGTATGCCATTTTGTATTTTTTTATGTTAAAAAAAATAATATAATAATGGTTCCCCCTCCCCTCCCTAAATCCACCCCTGAAGACTTGATGGAGCCACCACTGCTTAACATGTTACAGATTGCCTCCAATCTAGAGTCCTAAATTGGGATATAGGTAAGCAGATTATGGAAGTTAATTTTAGGTAATAATATACAGTAACTATTTTTAAAAGCTCTCTCAACAACAAAGCAATAGGTATGCCAATATGTCACTCAATTCAATTCAATTTAATGGATATCACTTTCGTAACAGTGGCACACGTTGGACAATACCCAACGGTGCATCCAAATATAAGAGAAAAATAATAAACTTAAACTAGGAGTAAATTAAACTAAAGTGTATATACAAAGTAAAATTTATCAACATGGCATGTAGGTCTATGTGGTATGGTACCGGTAGTCTTACAGGACCGTATTATTTACAGAGTTGCTGTATGAATTGCAAGTTAATATGGAGCTAGAACTAACAGACAACTAACTCAATGACGACTGTAGCTTGTGTAGAAGATGGCTACCAGTCACCACTCTCTCATTAACCCTGTCTCGTTATTTACACCCCACCGTTATTTACACCAACTTGCCTTTGACATCACCCTATCATATAACTATACACTGGACTGCACATGCAGACTAGTAGTAAACAAGTAATTAATACAGTTGAAAGGTAAAGGATTGTGAAGATATATACAGCACAAAAGCTGTTCAATGAAGCATGTGCAAAGTATATTACACAAAATCAAAGTACAGAGCCAAGTAAACTTTGGCCAAACTGGTTTGCTCCAGATTTGCAAATACAATAATTTAAATGTTTCTAATAATAAAAATAAAACATAAAAACAGAATGAACAATGAAAACAGCAATAATTACTGTTGTATAAGATGAACAGGCAGAGACAGACATCCTAAGAAGCAAAGAAATCAAAGCCATATAAAGCTGTTATTGCCCTGGTTAAATAATTGTACAACAAGGTGATAAATATATGGGCAAGATTCCAAAGTCGGTATAATAACAAGTTGATATATTTACCTTTTCTTAAGCAGTTGAGCGAAGTTCTTCCTGAAGGTCGGGCTGAGTTTACCTAGGAGTTCCACTAGGGAATGGCTTAGGTGTTTAAGTTCGCTAGGCTTAGGGTTGAAAACATCCAATGTAGATCTGACAAATCAGACAAATAAACAATTAGTTTCAGCATTGAAACAGAACAAGACAGGTCTGAGAAAAACCTAAAAAACTTATTTACTGTTGAGAGGCTCTCTCAAACAAGAAAACAAAAACATTACATTATATAATGATAAATAATGAACTACAAAGTCCCAAAATATAAGAACATATAAGAATTCAGATAAAAATTTGTAATTTGCATTTTATTTATAAATACAAATGGGAAAACACTACTAGCATTTATTGTTGGTTGATTCCAGTATTTAAAAGAAAAAAAAGCATCATTTGTATACTTGTTATAATTATTATTATTATTATTATTATTATTATTATTATTCTATTATTATTATTATTATTATTTACTTTATAATTATGATAAATAAATTTGGACACAATTCACAACAGCTGCCATCTATTGTAGGAAAATACACACACTCTATAGCATTCTACGCTTTGTATCAATATTATTTTTATTAATTTCTTATTATTAAATATCATCATTATCATTATTATTAAACATTCACTTTGTAATTATAATTTAAAAATTAGAACTCTCTTCACAGCTGTAACTGTACACTAATTTGATTTATATTTTATAGGATGCATCAGAATGGTGTCTCGTTTTTTATTAAAAGCAGGTGACATCTGCACGAATAACCGGTGGCTCTAAAGAAATAAGTTACATCATCTATGTTGTTGACAACTAAAAACATCTGAACCATAAATCCAATACAGAACAATGATTTACAAAAATAATTATGATGGTAATATACTGACTAAATATCTAGGCCTTTCTTTGTTATAATACTGAACTTACATTACTTACGTTATTTACATTTGCACAATCACACTATGATTCTTTAGCTTTATATAAACAGTTCTAAAATTCATTGCAAATATTTTTGATTGTGAAAGACCTTGAAACCTCATACTTTCTATAACAGCATAAATACCCTTTTTGTGCAATAAATTGCAGTTAGAAATTAATGATGTGCAACAAAAGTGAGTTTGCCATTTAGTTCTTAATAAATTATCCATTGCTGGTAAAAACTGCATGTGGCTAGAGTCAGTGAATAACCTCCATGCACAACATGCATGTTTAATATATTATAGGCGCCAGCAAAGACTTAGCATAGCATATCAGCATAATTAGCACTGCTTGAATGAAAAGGTAGTCAGCAATGTATATTAATTCCAGGAATCTTCCTTGGAGGAATTAGGTACCCCTTACTCTTTTCTCACATAAAAGCTTTTTCCTATCCCACCGTAAATTGCTTCTAGTAAGTTGATTTAAATATATTACCATGATGAATAAAAATATCACCTATTAAAGCCTTTCTATATTTATGGATTTCAGTTGAAGTAGACTTAATAAAGGATATAACAGTAATAAATAATGTCATATTAAGCCCGGCATTCGCTGCATCGTCTAAGGGACATACGACCGTCTACAACAAATCCAATTATGCTACCTGTGAGCTCTAGACGACGAGATGCCATCTGCTGATTTTAGGTGGCTGCCTGAATGGATCATTATAAAAAAATGATCCCTTGCTCGCGTTGTTTTCTTCATAGAATTGCATAGGTAGGGCTGAAAATTAGTGGTCGCCCGGTGGCGACCTTTTTTGGTGTCGGGCGATAATACATGTCTTGGGTATCGCCCGTCTGGCGACCCTTACTGGGCTTACGCTACCTAAACTGCAAGTGAATAAACAATTTTCTTACCATGTAGTATGATTATAATTGGGTATTACTGTCAAACCTATTCACATAAATCCTATCAAGTGTCTCACAAATATAAATATTCACACATTTATTCACACTAGCTTTTGCACACATAAAATTTATTTTAAAAAATCCAATAATGCTAAATTTGAAACTTACTGATTGACATAGAAACCTCTTGTTGATGCTGTTATATGGTACGCCCCACCATCCACTGTGACAACATACAGATACAACAAATCACCTGTAACATTAACAAGCATCATTAATAACTCATCGGATGTATTGCATTACAATATACAAAGTTGTGCGATGAGACACATTGATGTGTTACATCTGAGCATTAACAGAGTGTGACATTATCATAAATCACAATGTTAATTGTAGTTAACCACATAGATATATTAACCGCAGTAAAAGTGCGCTGATAAACATGAGAATTCAATGTCGCAACGCAGGTCTACATTAAAATGAACTATAATTTTTTTTTTTACAGTCTAATAGTTTTAATTTCATTTTCATCCAACAGTGAGCGATTCACACCATATATTACTTTAACGCTCTAAAAACTAAATCGCTTTTATGAGGCTACTGGGGGTTCAGATGCCTTGAGGCTCCCTAAGTTTCTAAAGTTCCTGAGGCTACTTAGGGAGTTGTTTGTAGTAATGAAAAAAAAATTTGTTGTTTTGAACTAGGAAGCAACCATAAAACAAAATACCAAGCTGCATCTCCACTACACTTTGCATTAAAGATGTACTATATCAGTCAAAAAGACAGGAAAATACGGCAAATATTTAAGTAACATTTTGAGTACTGCAAGTCATACACTTTGCTTAAAGATGTACTGTCAGTCAAAAAGACAGGAAAATACTGCAAATATTTAAATAACATTTTGAATACTGCAGGTCATACACTTTGCATTAAAGATGTACTATCAGTCAAAAAGACAGGAAAATACGGCAAATATTTAAATAACATAACATTTTGAATACTGCAATTAATTAAAAAGGATCAAATAAAGGATTACAGTAGCTTTCAACCATATTTACAGACATTTTACTACAAAAATCCTTAAATTAAATAGCAGCCAATAAGAAAGGATCTATGCCATTGAATACAGGAAAGTTATTATTTAACATGTCCAAATATTGACAGGAGAATTTTTATTCTCATTCAGATTTTATTTCAAGTTAATAAGTTACTTAAACATACAAAAGCAATTAAAATTATGTATTTTTACCTCATGACTGATAGTACAGGTACATCTTTAAATAATTTTATTTTAGTTTTTTACAGAGAAAAAAATATATGCGAGGACAATGTTTGATGCACCCTGATGCCTAGTGGTTCTCAATTATTACCAACACAGCAGTGGAATGCTGAAGCAATTGCATTTACTATAATTTAACTATTTCCTTACCATGTAGCTTCCTTGGTCCAGGTGGAGGGTTCCATCCTGACATTGTCACCATTTTCATACACGGTGGACCTTTGTTCTCAACCTTGCTCGGTAGAAGAGGCACAAGAGGACGCTCTTTGCTCTTTGGCATAATGTACGATGGTGGAGTGCAATCAACGGCTTCAACATTGCTGCCTTTTCTCGATTCTTCTTCAAAAATGCAAAAAGGTAAAGTTAATTTATGGAAAAATCCCTTTACATTTTCCCAAACATCTTGTACAATGGTTATTTTTAAAAGCTAGATACAAGCAATATACTTTCTTCGATTAAAACAAAATGTTTCTTACCATCTCCGATGATAGTATTAATGAAGGTCATTGACTGGCAATCCACGCCATTGTAGGCATCAGACGAATCAAGCGATTTGATCAAATCACGCACATGGCGCACATGAATACGTGCTTCTCGAACTGTGTATGGTTCTGTATCATAAACACAAATGTGATTAGCACATTTACATAAGAACAAGAATATTGATGAACATTAATAATACTTGAAATGTTCATTATTTTATAATTATTATTTTAAGATTCATAAGAATTTTCTTACTGTACTTAGGAATATAAATTGCTAAGTCTTTGTAAACATCACCTTTTGCACTGAGAAATTTGTATGCAAATCCTGTACATTTCTAGCATTTATATTATCTATTATACATGCTATGCATCACTAGAATTTTAAGAGATCAAGCATCTCATTCAAATTTATGACCTAATGACCTTTAGCCATTAATCTTGCATATCAAAAAATAGTATAAAGATTTTAATCTGATTATTGAGGGTTGATTGACTATATAATATATTTAATAATGAAATAATTCTGGAGTCATTAATTTATTTTTTCATAGAAATTGCAACACTTACCTTCCACCACCTTTAATACACAGCCTTCTTTCAGGCCTTCCACGGTCTTCAATTCGGCAAAGTTGTCAAGAATAACGCCTTCTAACTGTAGCGTGAAACACGTACGATGACAGGTGTCTTCACGGTCCATCAACACTTGGTGGATTTCTTGTACTAATTCAGAACTTGAAACCTGAATAATAATAATTTTTAAAACTACTGAAATGTAATACTGTATATGTCTGTGTTGAGTTTTAAAACATTTAAAAAATCTATCTGGAAATTAATTTTATTTAAATTTATTAGTTTAACAACACTATACTGTAAGAGTGAATGGATAATTTAATGGGGCTGGGTTTTACAAGTACAGTGTCACAGATCATAAAAACAATCATAAAACTTGAAGATAAAATGCCTCTGGTTGTGCCTACTTGTGACTAAAAACCTTGCACATAATTGGTATATTGGTACGCCAATATTAAATCTTATTCAAGCACAATTTTGCAATAAGCATAATACCAGGGAAGTCTATATTCTTCACTTCACGTAATAAAAAAAAAAATCCTTTTATTTCATTGCATGATTATTCAATGCGCGTACTGACATACGGTGACACTCCACAAAACTAAGAGGTATCATAGTGTGTAGTAAGAGGAGTTCTTACAAGTTATGCGAGAAAAACCTTGTTAACTATCCAGGATTTTAACCTACAGGGTAGGACCTCTGAGATTTTACACTTACCACCTTGCAGTACAGACCTACTCCAATTGGAGACCAATAAAAACAAAATCATCACACAACAAATATTTGAAATGTGTACTTTATGAGGTATAACAAAATAGTACATGCTGCATTTTGTTAATGAATGCCTGAATTCAAGGAGGTAATAAATCACAAGTGGGCAAAGTGTGGCCCGCGGGCCACATGCAGTCTGCCAGCGGATTTTTTGCGGCCCGCGGAAATGAATAAAAAACCCTATGTGTGTGGCCCCCAAACAACATTAGCTAGAAATCGCCTTGTTTTTTACGGCCCGACACTGATCATCTGTAAAAAGTAATATTAAAACTGAGAATAAAGTGGCTTAAAAGCAGTGCTTAAAGGTTTTTGGAAGCAAAATGGAAACATCAAAGTTAGTGTGCGGCCCTCGGTGTTAAATTAAAAATTGACTTTTGCCCTCCAACTGATTTTAATGGCCACCCCTGTATTTAATAGACTAAATTGCATGTTATAATGGATGCTACGCAATTGGGAATGCGTGGTAGTTACTAGCTTAACTGGAAAAAGTGCTAAGGCAACATTTTAAAAAAGGTAAACTTAATATTTATACTCTTCAATTTGTTTGTATAGGGCCTACAATAGGTACACAATGCCTATTTTAAAGTCTATAAATATACAAACCCAATCAACATTTACGCAACCCTATCGACCCATGCAACTGTCTGTGACCCATGATGGTATAGCTTGTGACCCCAAACAGGGTCTCAATCCCACGCAGGCATTAATAGTCACTTTATCTTTACAAAAATGGGAGAGATAAGTTTCTATTTTTGTAATACAAAAGAGGGAAGAAGCGTGAATTAATCATTAAAATGATCTATTGGAAGCAATTAGATCCAATAGTTTCCTGGAGTTGCAGAGCAGATGGTCAAGCTACCCCAGAAATTAAACAGGTGATGTATTAGAGGAACTATGTAGATAGATAACTGCACCATTTTGGTACTCATCAGCACTATGGGAGGAAGTTGAGTAAAGCCCTGCCAGACTATCATATTTTTTTTGACAAAAACATGTGAAATACCTAAATATGGTCATGACGATATATGGGCATACTACTGGTTTTGTCAAAGAAAATTTATCTGGACAGGAGAGAAAATACAAGTAATGTGAAAAGAGTAAAGTGAATCCATTCAGGCAGTTTTGTTTAAACATTAACAACATTAACTGGTGGTAGCCCTCATAACCTGTTCATTAATTTTAGCATAAAATTGTGAAATCGAAACCAATATGGGTAAGTACTGTAGTGTAATAAATTTACATTTTTAATGATATAATTTCTTTTGTTACATACGGACTAAGGTTCATTAAGAACTGGGTCAACTACAACAATTCAGTTTATGCTTAACATAGGTCATTTAATAACCGATCATTGGCGGTTGGCACATATACTGTAGCTATTCAGACTCTTAACTTGGAGGGTTTGGTTCAAATCTGGAACTGGTCATTACTTGTTTTGAAGTAGTTTAATATTGGTCAGGAGAAAGTGGGAATATCATATTGGCACATCATATCACTGACTATAATGAAGACTGGTTAGGCGAGACTTTTCTTATTCCTTGTTTCATGTACTTATTTTTCTAAAGATCATCAGAGGAGAGCGGAATAAAAATAAAAATAAAATTTTGTTTTCTTATTTAGCAAAGTTTTGCCAAAAACATCCAGATGGAGAAGAAAATAAAAATAAAATTTTATTGGTGAATGTAAAACAGGATGGTTAAGTGCTTCGAATTCATATAATTAGGAAGAAAATACATATCTAATCTTTGGAGATTTCAAGGCCGCAGAGGGCGTAATAAAAAAGAAAAACTTTTATTTTTTTCTTAAATTTTCCCTTTTTTGTAGCGGTGGGTGTGCTAATTGTTCAAAAATAAAATTTTCATTTGAAATCATCAATATTTGCAGTCGGCGGGTTCGCTAAACATGGTATAATAAAAGTCCCGCCTTATGGATTTAAACACATGGATAAATTTGTGTCGACCATCAACCTAATCTGGTAGTTAATGTTCTTTTATAAAAAAAAAAAAAAAAAAATGGACAAAGAAAAACCTTGAAGATAAATCAGTCATCATACATAAACTGCAAGTTCCTGTAAATAGAGATTAGGACTTATAGAGGCTTAAGACAGAGGGTAAACTAAGGAATAAACACTAATCTAATTATTAAGATGGCTTCACTAATTATATTTTGCAATCTACCCCTGCACTCAAGGATAATACTTACTACTGTCAGGGTTAGCCAATTAGGTCATTACAATTTGTCCAGGTCAATGTTTTTACTTGAGAAGTTAGGTCACTACAGAGGTTCTAATTATGCAACTGCATTAAGCTATTGATTACCCTACTAAATAGTGCACCCAGTGGGATATCTAGAAGTCTTGAAATGAGGGTTGGGGAGGGTGTACAAGGTGAAGTGGGGGAGTTCAATGATCAGTTGTGGGGCACTAACTGGCAAAAACAGTGATTTTAGGTGATATTTAGCTACTTGCAAATGATTTTTTAGTTGAACAACTAGGGAAGGGGGGCCAAATAATTTTTGGAGAGGCGTCACTGAGTGCACCTACTATTCGGAACCCCCGTCATTTAGAGACCCCTTTTTTCAAAGAACCAGTCTATTACCACTAAGCTAACCCTCTATATAGAGACCAAACACCGAGACCACCCCAAATTTCTAGGTCCAAAAGGTGGTCTTGAATTGCAGGGCTAACTGTCCGTATTATATTTCACACAAACATAATTTACTCTATTGTCATGCCAAAACATAAATATTTTACTTATGTTGTCTGTTGACATTTGATTCATCCTTTTCACATCATAAATCAGGGCAGATCCAGAGATGTCCGACAGGGGGGACGATCAAGGGACAACACTATCTAGGGTTGTTTTCTAGATGTCTGGACTGAAACCTCCAAGGTGTTTGGGCGATCAATAATTTCTTTTTCTTTATTTTTTTAACTTTCCAATCTGTCCCTATAAATCTACAAGCTACTATACCAACCCTTTTTTTTGTTTTGACTCATTGGTATCCTGTATATCAAAGTTATCAGTCCCAGGTGGGGAATTGTTTAATAGTTTTTACAGCGGTTCTAAATTTGCTAATTAATTACATCCTGAATTCCAGTACCCTTCTAATTTGAGACCTTCTTTTCGAAGTACCAATTAACAAGCTTCAACTTTTGAACACAAAGCCGACCTACTACAGTATTTGGAGACCACCCCACATTTCAGGTCTCAAAGGCAGTCTCAAGTTTGAGGGCAAGATAGGTTACGGTCTCCACTACACCTCGGGGCAATAGATTCCACCATTGTCTTCATGAGTAGTCAATATTATACCAAATCATGACTTCTCACTTGGGTTTCTTACCTGCAAGTCAAAAGCATCTGTCCCTGGTGGGGAAATCTTTATTGTGAACATAGTTTCTGGAATGACTACAACATCTTCTACATTTGACTTCGCTGCGTCCTCAACTTTCTCCTTCACATCTTTGTCCTTCGATTCTGGTGAGGTTGATTCACCGTTAACTAAGGCTGACATCTCATTTATCAAAAGAGATTTTTTGAGATCTTCTAGATGACCGTTGGCTTTCATGACATTTTCCATCTCGCATTTGTCACCAATTGTCCCTGCAAAGGGACACTGTCCCTTCTTGTCTCTGTCATCTGTGATAACGTTCATGTCTTTCAATTCTATATGTTTTTGGTCTACTTCCATCTAGCTTCTTTGAAGTTATTCAAATGTGAAATCGTGTTCTCTAACACTTAAGTTCCTGTAAAAAAGTAAATATCCACATTACTATGAATGTTCTGGTATATTGACAATGGACAGAATGCAAGAAAATTATAAAGGCTTGAAGAGTTCATCCTTTTCCCAATACTAAATTTAAACTTTTGACCTTCGACCATTCATCTCCAAACGACTGCAATCCCTAAATGCACATTCTGTAAACATAGACTGATCTATAGGTCATTGATACTATAGAAAAAATGTTGCCCTTATTGGAAATCAAATATTACAAGACTCTCTGATTAAACATTCAGAGCAAACATCAAAGCAAACAGCGAGAGTTCGTAGCATTTGATGATAATGTCCACTTTTTTCTTTTTTATAAGAAACAGTAAAATTTTGTCCAGGCTTAGTGTTCTTTTTGCCAATTTCAGACTCAATGTTCTTATTTTGTTCTTATTTTTCACTTTTCAAAGATAGAAAATTATGTTTGTAGACCAGTACTGCATTGTAGAGTGTATCATACTGTAGTCACACCTAATTCACATACCGTATTATCTCTAATATATGTTAATGTGTCGCGTGTTCGACGCTGATTTGATTCAAGGTGGCTGGTCAATGAAGTCTATACCGTAGTGAGAATGTTTCTTCAAGTTGGGTGTTTTGCGTGCGGTGGCAGCTACTGTTCTGTGCGGTGGTGCAGTGCTAGTTCATGAGGCCGACATGTTTTTGACAAGCACGCGATTGTTGTTGTGAAAGGAGAAGCACCGCGCTGCATCGTCGGACATTTACCCCAAGAGAACTCGAAGATATTTCATTTCTTTTTGAAACACAAGGAATTATTGATGTTCAAATAACCAGCAACAAACGAAGGAACAGCAAAATAGCAGGAGGCCTGGAGATACCCTGCACATTAACCCCCCCACCCCGGAAAAATGCAACGCCCCGGGGCGTTTATTAGAGACAATACGGTAAGGTACAGATAAGGTTTGTTTGTTTTTATATTTAAAAAAATAAAAACCTCATTTGAAATTTTACCTTAGCCTTAATTTTTTCTTATTTTGTTTTGTGTTCTTATAAAATATGTTGTTACAGTAGCTGTGAACAGTTTAATTTTCTCTTCCTTTTGGCAGTTATTAACTGCCATTAAATCTATTTACCTGTAATAGTAATTGTATACCAGTACAGTATTATGTACTAAAGATCAGACAACAAATTTTCACAATTACTGTATGTACTATACTGTGCTAATGTAATCCGGAGGTATCAACTATTCAGTAGAATATAGAACAAGTTTCACAAACCACTTTTTATCACAGTAATCACCAAGTAAATCCAATAAGTAAATTCCAACAATATTTAAATGTAGGTTAAATATTTGCATGTTTACAGTTTACCAAGTGACTTGATTGTTGAACTCTGTATGTATCCCATTCTTGCATTATTTATTACCTCAACAGTCTTACGGAAGACAGCACAGTATTAAATCTTACGAATGCAAAACAAAATTAACGTCATCATGAATTTATAGAAAAAAATTCATGTTTCTTATTTTGACACCAAAGTTAAGAAAAATACACAAATTACAAAGCTAAAGGGCTAATAACATTTAATATTCTCATATAAGATAAGGTTTGTTGGTTTTTATATTAAAAAAAATAAAAACCTCATTTGGAATTTTACCTTAGCCTTAATTTTTTCTTATTTTGTTTTGTGTTCTTATAAAATATGTTGTTACAGTAGCTGTGAACAGTTTAATTTTCTCTCCCTTTTGGCAGTTAATAAGTGCCATTAAATCTATTTACCTGTAATAGTAATTGTATACCAGTACAGTATTATGTACTAAAGATCAGACAACAAATTTTCACAATTACTGTATGTACTATACTGTGCTAATGTAATCCAGAGGTATCAACTATTCAGTAGAATATAGAACAAGTTTCACAAACCACTTTTTATCACAGTAATCACCAAGTAAATCCAATAAGTAAATTCCAACAATATTTAAATGTAGGTTAAATATTTGCATGTTTACAGTTTACCAAGTGACTTGATTGTTGAACTCTGTATGTATCCCATTCTTGCATTATTTATTACCTCAACAGTCTTACGGAAGACAGCACAGTATTAAATCTTACGAATGCAAAACAAAATTAACGTCATCATGAGTTTATAGAAAAAAATTCATGTTTCTTATTTTGACACCAAAGTTACAAGGTTAGAAAAATACACAAATTACAAAGCTAAAGGGCTAATAACATTTAGTATTCTCATATATAATTTTCCACTGAAGGAAATTATATTAATTCCTTTCAATACCAACAAATTATTTTTAATGAAAAATTTGAAAAATACATGCATTGTTCTTTTCAGATTCTGTAAATTTCATTGAGGATTTAATACAAGTACCTACACATGTTTAATATGAGATTTACCAGCTGGTAAAAAAGGCTGTTTTATTAATAAGTTAAAGTTCACATCGCACAATAGCCTTTTAATTACATTGTTATAATTGATAACTGGCAGTAGTGTTGAGTAAATATGTTATTAGTACATCAGATTATATAAAAATTATTAGCAGTTGTGATAAGAATAATAGGAATAAAGAAAATCAATTTTTATATCTTTAATTTACCGTGGATAAATAAAAAATGGCAGGAAAAATGATTAAAATAGTTACACTAATCATTTATTCAGGTATGGAAGTGGTTTGTAAATCAATAAAAGCCAAACAAAAATTCCTTGTTTCCTGTTCCCTCCCTCACCATTTTTTGGGCCCGCATACATTTTTTTGTTTTTGTTATTCTTAAAAATTTTGGAGATTTTTTACGTAAAAAATGCAAAATTTCAATTGCCGACACATTTCATAGGTTACAAATACATTTTTAAACACAAAGATCATTAAACAGCAAGAGAAGTAATGACAAATTGTTTACGACACATTTTTATAACATTGAGAACATGCTTTGGCATATTTTGATGAACTGTGAAAAATAACAAGTATCAAATATCAAGTGTCTCCCTCACCAACTTTTGGGAAAACCTGGGACAGGAAACAAGGATTTGTTGTTACTTGGCCTAACGGTTTGGTCTCCCAACTTTAAGGTTAAGAAACCTTACACTGTGAAATTCAATTGTGCCCTTGGGCACTTCTGCATTGCTTCTTTCCACCCAGGAGTATAAATTGATACCCAGTGGGATTGAGAAATACTGCACTGATTACAGAAGCAACACTTACGCATGTGGATTAAATGACCAGGGATAAAAAATAGCTTCATAAAAATGAAAATAAAAGAACTATACATGCTCATTAACATTAACAATAAAACTTATCTACCATTATGATAACTGAAACAGTATTTGTTCAACTTATTGTATTTATTTACAGCATTCTCATTAATATCATGGCTGTACGACTAGGGCAGCGTGGAGATTTTTGATACCACAAATCTTTTAGTACACATTAAGAATACCACCAGCACAATTGCACAGTAATTAAATTAAAGACATCCTACTGCACCTGTATTAAGACTTGAGAATAAAAATAGCAAAAAAAAAATGCACTACTGTATTTAAATTGCTTAAAATAACATTAAATTGCTTAAAATAACATTCACGTTAGTTTACTTTTTCCATATAAATATTATAATGAAAAAAGTTTCCTGGCCAATTAAGTTTATTACACAAAATGTTCCTGTATTATGTAATACCTTTACATTAATTTCAAATTTTTAAATTGCCACAAAAATAATTATGAAAAACCTTAAAATTAAAATTTGAGATGATCGCAAAAGCACCACCAAAGTTGTCTACTTTCAAAGTAAAAAAAAAAGAGTTAAAGTTAAGTTAAAGTGAGCCCAGGCAGATGAACAAAAATCATATTTTATTGATTTAGAGATGTTTTACTATTTAAAAAAATCAATAAATTTGCTAGCAGATATTTAACAGTACGACAATATCTATAGATATATTTCTTTTAACATCTCTTCATTGTCAGGAACAGTTTTGTCTTGTTCCATTGTTGAATAATAATTTAATATAAAATTACTGTATATTTAAATGCATTAAAAAAATATTTTCTTCAAGTTTATATTAGATTTAGGTACTGTATATAATTAAATTTGCAAGAAATTATAAATTAGGAATATTCAAAATTTCATAATAATCCATTTAAATGATCAATTCAATTATTTACTCAATAATAGGATTCATGATTTGTTATCCCATTATTTTATGGTACCACAGAGAGATAATCTTGATCAAAGGCTAGGCCTACTATATAAAGAAAAGTTAATAGTGAGGAACAAACTTACCTTGTACATAGCTAGGCCTTATACTTTGGTACTGTACTACTATAGTAGTTCATATACAGTCTATTACACACTCTTATCACTGGAACACCATACAATAATTCTTAGCTGATCAAGATAAGATTATAGTATGCTACCAATATTGTATTAATATGTACTTTATCTTGCCTGCAGTGATTTTTGCTGGCTTTAAACCATGAATATTCATTGGCTTCTTACCCAAAGGTCAGTCAGTCAGCCATTGAGAAGTAGCATAATCATAGGGACCCAGTTGAGTCAGCTAGGGTCACTGATCCCCATAATTGTGGTTAGTACCAAATTACAAAGCTGGGTTAAAATGGATTGGTTATTCCTTTGTTATGGATTGACCAGAAGAGCACTTCCTTAAGACATCAAGACAAAAACCAAACAGCCCTGCACTTTACTGGAAATGGCATTTATATATAATTTCCTAGCAAAATCCTAAAAAATCCTACATTGGAATAATTGTAACAAGCTTGCAAGAAATCTTAAATTTATGCATTAAGTACCGTAATCTGACGAGTGTGATAGTTATACATGCTAATGTTTGCAAAAAAATCAATGCATTTTAAACAGGCATTGATTTGGACTGAAATGCCAACAACATCGGTATGGCTACCTGTGCTCAAGAGTGTATATGAAATCCATAACATGTTATTTTCACTTGATTAAAGTCGAAAAAGGTCAAAAAAACAAATATGTTTGTTTGGTG